GGGTGTGTAATTGTTATTTACGAGACTCGTTAGGGATTGAGGGATCGATTTGGGGCACGTAAAACCAAAACAAATTGAACAACAGGAAGGAATGCATCGAGGGATATATCATGAGCAGCTCAGAGCGTGAGCCTCCATCAAGGGTCTCATTATTGTTTGAAAGGTGACAAGCAGAAAACATCAATAAGCAAACTTGATGTGCTGAGCAAAAATCGGGTGAGTACCAGCCACAAGCAATAGCCTATACATCTCACAACGCAGTTTGGTTGGTAACCGCATACCTTTTCTGTCTTAAGCGGCTTAATGAATTAGCTGGGTCGTGGAAAAATGGAGTTATCTAACCCCTTGAGTGATTTACTTGGAATCTTCCTCACTCTTGCAAAATCCAACACCATATGGTCAACTCAACACCCAAACTGTTGTACTCTTAATTAAGGTGGTATGCCTAATCTCATGTAAAGCATTACTAGTGCAGTACTCACTCCAACAGATTCCAGCAAATATGCAATTGGATTTTGAAGGGTTGGGGTGGTAAAGGTTAATTGAACACGGTAGTTTTTCTTCTTTCCCAGCCCCCCTTAAGTTTTCTTCCAGTGAAATGCGTCATTGCAGCTTGTACGTTCCCAGTGGAGGTTGAGAGTAGATGACAAGGCTAGGCACAGAGAGTCTCTAATGAATAAGCTTCCTGATGACTAGGTTATCGTGCTAACAGTAACAGTGACTTGTGTTTAGATTCTATTTTATTATTTACCTGAATAATGTCCTTGGTATAACCACGATGGAGCTGACCAGTCATTCAAAATGCGGCAGCATATTTGTTGAAAGAACGGCGCGTTGACTTTATTGAAATGACTTTTGCGTAGGTCATGTACGTGTCATTCATTATTGGCACCTTCTACTGTCTACATTTACGATGCTGTTTTGTCTCAGTTAGACTTGCATTTTCTCTCGATGATTGAGGTTCAGTTTCTGCCAATAATGCTAATTACAGATCGTGTTTGCACCGCGAACACAGTCCAGCTTCCAGACAGCCAAGTAAACGTAAACTTATCTTAAACTCCGCGGGCGCCAGAAGTCTTTCACTGATCCACTATACTGACCAAAATAAGTCCGACCTGTCATCTCGTCCAAATCACCCATTTCTGCGATTGGCTCACTGCAAGAAAAGGCCGATTCCAATCGCTGATTTATTTTCAAAAGTCAATGATGAATCACGCACTTTCTGGGTCAGTTAGAGATGTGCGTGGTTTATCTCATTCTCGCACGATCAAAATAGAATGACGTCTTATACTAAAAAAACCTTCCTATTTTCTTTCAAACAATATAGTGTCATTTTCTTGATCACCTTACATGCTTCTATTAGTATTCTTTGATTTCCTTATATAAACAGCATATACGTTTTTATATTTAAGTAGGTATTTCATATTCATCTGGTAACATTAGGGTCCACGTTGTACAGAGCTAGTGATTTGCTTTCAATCTTTGCAAGAAAATTCACAATCCGATGGCCAACAATATATTGAGTAATAAGCCTGTTTGGTCGCTATATTTGCTCAGAGGCCCCAGACCCATATTATTTTCAGTTAGTTTTTGGGTAACATCTCAGTTCGATGTACTCAGTGAATGCAGTGCTAAATACGTCTTAAATGGCCTGTCTTGGCCGAATCTGGACCGCTTTCAGCGGTCACTTGTACAGACACCGCCCTTTTCTCTCGGACATCAGGTCGCTATGGGATGATACCGCCTCCGGAAACCTGAGAGATTATTGTCCGAGTCCCAAAGGACGGTCACTGCCAAGGCCCTGACCGACGGAACGGCTGCCGACCAGATAGAATATCACTCGTACAAATTCCCCTGCGGTTCGAGATATCGCCGCCCATGAGATGTATAACCACCCGGAGGATATCGCTAATTAGTAAACACTTATAATCAGCGAACCTCGAGGGACAGAGTTAATTGGTTTTGCTTTGCTTTTTCGATTTGTATCAAAGTTTCGCGTGCAAGGAGTCAATCTACCGGTACTATATCCATCATTTTTGAAACGACGCAGTCGAGTGTGACGTCAGCATGATCGCTCTTTCAGTATGGTTCCGGTAACAATTTAAAATTTCATTTTTTGTAAAAGCACAAAACGGTAAGCTGTCGTTCATCTTATTAGGTCCAGTTGAAGATGCTGCCCAACAATCAGCTGGAAAGCTCCCATCTTCTCTCTCCGACCCTCTGCTTCTCAGTGCTGCAATGCAAGTGGGAGAGATTCCAGTTGCAAATTACGCAAGTCATAGTTTAAATATATAGTAACCTGATTAGTGTCAATAACTGACTCAGTTTATTCGATTTCTTGACTCAGTGCAGCTGAATTCGCTATCCAAAGTCAAAGCTGTTTAAACACCCTCCAGAAAGGTTATAATTGGTTTAGGAACGAAATGGTATTTTGACAGTTATTTTTCAACATCCGCTCAGTTGTAGACTTGTAGAATATTAAGTCGTCCCTGCACTCCTCCGTTCGAACACAATTGGCAGGTACTCTCCGTCCTGCCTCGGCCATTCAATTTATCCAGGTCTTAGCGACTTCCTGATCATTTTACAAGATGTTTCCTGTGTCTCCGCAAGCAAGATAGCTTAGTTACCCCCTTCAGGTCTTGCTGCTCTCCATTACTGCATCTGTTCAACATCTCAGGATACGATGAGAAACGATCTATTGGGCGTGTTAAGACCACCAGTTGAAGCCAAAACGGAAATCCAGACGAATCCTGAGACGAGGGATGTTGATTAGTTTGTTATAGGAGGGACACAGTGTGAAGATTGTGAGCTTCTCTCCGGTGTGTGAACCAGTAACCGATGTGACCCGATTACTATCACGGCGACGCCTTAGACTAATCCACGACCACAATGAGAAGACATTATTCAGGTGGTACCTTGCGATCGCTCACGCGAATGTCGCAGGCATGAGTTTTGAAATTTGAGGTGTTTATTTCTTATTTGAGTGTGTTTTAAATTTGAGGTTACATATTGGTAACCACAAATGGTTGAAAAAGCATTGAGTACGAGCGTTTTATGCTTGCGTTCATGGAAGCACCTCGTGGCTTTCATTACTATGTGTTTAGTTGGGCGGATAGGTCCAGAGAGAAATCAGGTGTAATGTAACCTGCAAGCATACACATAAACTATTAATAAATGGTGCTACCTTATATTAATGTTACAGCGTGTGCGATCTGTTTTGAACCGGAAAAAAACCCGGATTATTTTACAGTAAGTTTTGCGACGGCTTGATAATGATATAGCTTTGATGGTACTGCCATCAATTTTAACGTGCCTGGGGATATGCCACAGCTGACCTTTACAAACTACCGTTTGAGTGTTGAAAGGGTGGTAAACGTTATTTGAGATGAGGTCCGTTTTGCTCGGTTTCCTTTCTACGTCGCAATTAATCGGATATGAAACTATCAGCGTGGAATGAGGACTTGTGCCATGCTGGATCCGTAGTTCGTCCTTAATTGGTTTCTAGGTTTGCTTCAAACGATTCAAACAAACGGATGAGTTGCTCGGTTTTGGAAACGTACCCAGCTTTCATACATATCAATTCTTTTGAAAATACAACTAATTTCATACCTCTATAGTTATTTCATTACCAGATCCACCCATAGATAATTGACACATGTGTGAATTACACAGAACCTGACCTGGAGTTAATTTCTGGAGAAAGTGACGATTCGAGTCATTAGATATGATTACTCTTTAGTTGAAAATCAAGTTCAGGTAAGTTGACTGATGCTGTTTCGTTTTTATCCGAACAGTCAACAATTTTCTGTCATCGCCATGTTTGGGGTCAGTCAGCCCACGGAGACTATCAGTAGCCAGGACCGAGGTGCCGTCAGGGAGTTTGTCCGTCTCTTTATGGCTTTGGATTTCCGCAAGGTGACCCTCCCTTAACAAGTGGGCAAAATAAAGGCAATCCCTGCTCCTAACCGCCACACGACAATCACAAACACCTGCCAGACTAAGTGGCCCAATAAAGTCTGATAACATGTTGTAATTGTGGCTGTAGTCGTGCCAAGAGGACTAGTCGGACTCTAGTGGAATTGAGTGATGATTGATATTTACCCGTTGGCGATGGAGGGTATAACCGACCGTTTCTAACTTGCATTGGGGGGATTCTGGGCATGACGGTACCAATCGGAAACCTTCGGCGTGACGAGTTCATCGGAGCAATTACAAGGATTTACTTACACTAATTGATGCCAGACGTAGGTACCTGAGGCAGGGACGAGATCTTTACATCCCTTGGGCTGAGGTTTTTTGACCAACACAAATGGCTTCAGAGATTCCACCCCCAGGGCCGGTGATGCGGTGGTCACACACTGTGCACACAGGGGTCAAAGTGGCGGGAAGTTGTGTCATGCTTCACCGGTATGGCAGGTCGGACCTTCACGGTTGAAATGTTCCAGTCAACTGTTGACAGAATTACGGGTGGTCTGTGTCCGGGGACGAGATGGTACGACAATTATCATGGCAGAGGGTTAGAAATATTGCTCTATGGAAATATCATGCTGAATAAAAAAATGGGGGAAAAAATGTCTTTTTACTCTAATATTCGTGAGGTGTAACAAATCAAAAGGTTTATACAGTAATTCATATTTAAAATAAAACGAAGGTGCTGCTATTTTTGATTGAAACTTCCTCTGCTCGCGCGACCTTTTAAAACGCTTCTTACTCTACAGAAAAAGGGCTTTTCTTTTCCGCCATTTATTTCAGCTCTTGAAAATACAGTATAAATCACAAATGGTGAATGTTAGATAAGCTGTCAATGATTCACAAGATATCTATAAAACAATAGGCTACTGTCGCATCATTCAGGTTTGGAGGAATGAGAAGATCAGATCAACAGAATATTCTTCTGATGTTGACGCATATTATGCCAATACCCTGAAGCAGACAAGTTCCGATCATTAAATAACTGTCACAACAGTCTTCCTTATGATACTTGTTCTTTATTTCAACAGATTTACTGAAGTCTACCGCATCTCAATACCGGGCACCAGAACTCAGACGGTGCGCTACACGACGATATGCGGAATACAGGGACGTTGCAGTAGATATAGGTAACACGTGACTTCATATTGATGGCGGGGACATTCAAACAGCATGAACTGTGGCGTGTATTTCCAAGTCGGCTGTATGGAAAATAAAATGCCATTTGTGGTCATGTATATGTGCGCATTAAACAAGGATTAAAGTATGATTTCTCTTATGGCAACGCCAACACTTGGTTTAAGGTGGAGATGCCACCTAGCACTGTAGATGAACACTGTGGAAATTGGTAGATACTAAATGCGCCAGTGCTCCTCGTGATTGAGTGCCAAGCTTTCGGTGCGCTGCACCTTTTTCAGGGCTGTACTGTTTGGCTAGAACGCAGAAAATTTCACGTTCATTTCGTGTATATATACAAGCAGTAGGATGTTTTGGGCAACCAACAAAGTAAAATTTGAAAATCTAACAATCAAGAAACATAATTTCCAGAATGGGCTATTTAAAGCTACTAACACTTGGAGCAGTTCACCAATGTTTAATGTTGCAATGTTTAATGTGGCATTTCCTAAAGCAAAATGTGTATAGATTTATAGACGAAGAGACAAATATTTGACCCTTTGACAAATCTAATTAGTTTGTACACAACAGGTGGTACCTGTCCAAGTTATTTGATACAACGGGGTCAATGTCCAATTAATTAAGTGACGCAATGAAGGAGTCAAGGCCCAGTTGGATTACTCCCAAAATCATGGACTGCATTTCAGAGATAAGTCAGACAAGACCTGTTGGAGACTCGTAGTAATTAGTGTTGTGTCATCCTTATGATAATGGCAATATAATAGCTGGAATTTACAGCTGTAGTTTACTGTTAAGTGGTTTTATTCGTACCAAATTACAACTGGTTTCTAGTATCGAGATAAAAACCAGAAGAGGTCACCAGAGAAAAACATGATTAGTAACATATCATTTAATTGTGGTATTTATAATTGTATTTTAGCTTTAAAGCTTCATAACTTAGTCCACGAAATGATTAAATCAATTCATTCATATAATTGAAAAAGGCAATTTGATTGTTTCAAACTCTGGTATTAACATTTTTCACAGCTTATCACTTTGTGTGAATCATACTATTATAAAACACACGGTCCTTCATCGAAAACCTCTCACCGTTTGAGCAATCCGAAACCGGATTAAAGATAATACCTATTTTGACTGAGATCAATGTGAAATTGAGATTTGCTGTGGTTTTGGAAGTCGATCAAGGAAAACTATAGATTGGATGAATGCTCCCTAATAACCATGACAACCTGTCATGCCTGTTCATTTTCTCTTAAGGCATAAACCCAGGGATGTATAATGTCATGGCAGATATCGGAAACAACGGTTATGACTAACATGACGAGGGTTTAACCGTCTGTCATGCGCAACGTCGAAACTGAAGAAAAAAAATCTCTTTTCAACGTGATTTATTCTCCAGGCGCTTGTAAATTTCAAATAAGATATTTTTGCTTTCAGGAAAAGCCTTGTTAAGAAGACGATAGCAATATTTTTAGTCACGGGACTTTCTGTGATAGCTCTGTCTAGTCTCCGTGTTTGCCAACCTATATGAGATTGAGAAGACTATTATGCTCTCGATCAGGCCCAAGCGTTCGTTGTTTTTTTTATAAAACCAAATCCTTTTTTTAAAGTATTTGATATCCAAATTGAAATTCTGGCAACAAATCTCAATTTATTAACCTCTTTAGTTACTTAGGTCACCAATCAAGTTAGGGTTGGTTCACAACGAGTGAGAATGTTATCGAAAACGCGATTTTGTGACGTCATGCAAAGACATGCATGGACTTACTATTTGCGCAAAATAATGAGCAATTTTCAACTCGAATGAATTTCGCTGCGACGATTTTTTTTCTTAATTTCCTTAATACTTCAGTTTGCATACATACATGCACTTTTCTACAATACCAGCAAATCCTGTTTTTTTCTTCAAGCCAAAGACACAAACAGGCCAGAGCAATTCACTTTAACAGTGATACTTTAAACTTGCTACAGTCTATGCCAATATAACCAACGAAACTTCCTTAATTTTTTTCAGTCCCTGAAAACAATTAAGTCAACATCAACCTTAAATTCCTTGAATCTTCAAGTTCAGTTTCGCATACACGTCACAGACCGTTTACCTAGTAAGAGTCACCTCAACATTGGTAACTGAAATAACCTGCAGACATCCGAGATGAATTATCATATTGCCGCCACCACACCGCTTGACCGGTGGGGCAGTTGACCACAGATTAACAACAGATACACCTGTCCAAGAATAAAGGGCCCAACCTATTGACAATCAGCGGAAAATTGTTACAGAACAAGATGGCCAGCTGTCATCTAAACAAGATCCGTTACTTCACAAACTGTTATGATTGAAAAGGACGGCAACTGCCGGTCTTTCCTGTCGGACAGTAATTCAGCGCATTGGGCCCAATAAAACACTCTAAATTGTTCATTTATCGTTCATGCCTGTGAATCGTTAGCGGCTAAATTGAGTTTCCAATGGTCGCAGAACGGAGGTATTGTATTTTCCCCTACGGCATTCTTGTCACTGTTCCCGGGTTCAGACTTAGTTACGGCTTATGTCAAACATAATTGGCAATGTCATATTCATATTTGACTGATGTATCCGACGTGGTTATTTTTTTTTCTTTGCCTTGTCTAACTCAATTCTCAGGATGTAGCGACTTTGCGAATTTGATTCATCGAAAAAAGTTTCTTGTGAATGCTGTGTACTTTCGTGTGAATGCTGTGTACTTACTTATTTTATCTTCACTTTTAGTTATCCAATCCGCAGTGCCATGTGAGAATTTCTACTCTTTGCAAACACAGATTGTATTCTCAGTGGGCTTTTATTGTTTCAATACTTGCCCTTTTGTAGGGATTCCAAAGCGATTTCTGAGCAGCAATGTAAATATACAGTTTTCGAAATTTTCCGAGGGCCAAATTCTTTATACAGACTAAAAGATCGGTAAAATCTGAAAGAATACCTTCCAGAAGGGTGGGTGGGTTTTGCCATGGAGCTAGAGGACTTCCCCCATCCCTCCCCTTCCGTCAGTATGAGTAATAGTGACGAGGCTAATATTGGACATGCACCCCCAACCTCCCCCACCCTACCCCCTACTTACATGACAAGGTTAGATGTGGGATGCCTTGGTATTAGGAGATAGACCTAAACTAAGAGGTCTTGAAAGAAATGCCAAAGCAACTGGGATGCCACACTGAGCTGGCTGACTTTCCACAAGAGACATAGGGAATCCCGACCTTGACCGCAGCAGATCTGAGCTCTCAGTCAAACCCCTTTCTAAAGTAAAAAAGGAACCAGAACCATATTTTTTTTCTCGCAAAAAGATTAACATATTTTGTTTATGTATGCGAACTTATAATTAGACGGATATAGACCTCATACATCACTAAAGGCCATGTTGGCCAACATCAAACTTTTTCCATTGAAAGTTAATTCGTTTACAAGTTTAGAAGAATTGTGAAATGGCAAGTTTGGCAAGTCAAGTAAGTGGGCTGTGTATGCATGTTTCTAATACCGCACTAGGTTTGATCAACAACATAACATTCATGGTTGTCAAAATGCATGTATATAATGTTGAAATGTTCCACCCTCGGGAAATTTGACTCAGCACCGAATGCATCTGATTGTGATCTTTGTTCTGTTTTCCCCTAGGATTGTCTACGTGCAGAATTATCGTGAGGAGACACGCACTATTTACAGAGTAGTGCAAGAGTGCTGCGCTGGTTGGGTGCAAAAAGGAAGGAGATGTGTGACAAGGCCATCAACAGGTATGTGCCGAATCACTTCATTGACAGTGTGACATTCATCCGCCACTTGCACATTTTGAGAGTCCCTTGGTGATGAGAAAGTCGTGGGTGGTGATGAAGAGAGGAGTGACGAAGGAGGGTGTCGATAATTGGAAAAAATCTCCAAATGTCTCTTCAAAATGTGTTTTATTAATGTAACCCTATTGCGCACTCCACGCCCTCTGGTGGCGAAAATGAATAACGGATCTCTGACAAAAGGCGCCATGTTAATTGTGTACATTTATTACACTAGGATCAAAATGGCAACTGCTCTTTATCTAACTTTTTCGTTTCAGATACTGCTGCTGGAACCGTAACGACTCCAGTACCGACTGTGACGGTGACAGCTGGTACCAAGAATGAAGGCAATTTGGACCCTAGAAGGCCCTTCGTGACCGGTCTAAGCGGGACAACTGAACGAGGTGCGATTGGTACGGACGCAGGGGTTGTTGGGGCTGGAGGAGGAGAAACAGGAGGCGGGAAAAGACGGGGGTGGGATGGAGTTCCAACAGAGGGTGGACTTGGTGAAGGAATCGGTTCTAATAAAGGTGGCAGAGGTGTTGACATCGGTCGGGACGGCATAACGGGAGGACAAGATGCAGACGGTTCCAGTAACACAAAGAACGGCGAGGGCGTCCTCCAAGATGGCGCCATTGGCCATTTCCCGGAGGAGGTCGAGCCAGCAACGCCCGATGTGCAACCTCCCCAGAAGGATTCGGGGATGATGTTCTTGACTGGCATGTTGTGTGGTGTAGGTGTGTTATCGGTAGCTGCCTTCGTGGTCTTGTTCCTGATGTACCGACAACGAAGGAGTATGGATGGCAGATTGTTCGGGCTCCCGTTTCTTCAAAGGTAAACGTCGCTTATCATGGACAAGACTGTCACATATTGTAACAAAACTGTTGGTGTAAGAGCTTTACAGATTACCAAGTAGGTCTGCTGTATCATCTCTGTTACTTGATGCAAAAGAATCCATGTGTCAATTGAATAAAGTTATCCTCTTCTCCGTTTCTTTGCCCATCTCAGCTCACGCTTTGGGTCAACAGGCTCCTTCCGCAAGTCCAAGCTTTTGGCCTTGGCGCAATCCATCAAATCTGGTGAAGTTAAACTCATCAGGGAATCCACCAAGAAAGGTACGTATCGCTATTGAATCAGCGGGTACATACCTATGTTCCCCAATACCGATGTGCCCCGAAATCCTTATCCTATAACCCTAACCCTAACCCTAATCCTAAGGATTTTGGGAACATCGGTATTGGGGAACATAGGTATTGCGGAACATAGGCATTGGGGAACATCGGGTAGACCCCGACTCAGCGCCATTGCGCCCCCATCTCCTGCTTGGATCAATTTGCTGGTTGGGGATGTAATGTGCCGATCTTGACCCTGAACTTGAAAAGACTCAAACCTAAGGGGAAAGGAATTTAATTGCAGGAAATCCCTTAAATATAATTTTTTTTAGTGGTAACAGATTTTTGGAGGACCAGAGAAGCCTGGCGCAGGAGACTAGGAGTGATGGAACATACCTAATAAAATAAAAATGTGGGCAGTTCTTGATGCTCTTTGGCTGTTTGGCTTTTTTTTGTATAGTACTAGTGACACGTAAAGTTGAAAGTTTGCAAGTTGTTTGTGGATAAGTAGTTGTTAATGTTGCTGGTGAGTCCTTTGCTGTTGCTGGTTTGCCTATCACGATACGTCATATTTCGGATTCATATCACCCAATTACTAACACAACAATTCAGGAAACAAAAACGGAAAGGGAAAGGGAATAGTTTCAACTTGCGTGTGAATCAAGGGCGCGAATGAAGGGCGGGAACCATCTCAGCCGCTTATTCATAACGTCGGGAAATAATCAGCGTGAAATCAGCGTCATGTGCCGAAGGCTCACGGGTTGATGCAGAAAAGAAAAGTGCAAAGAATTACAACTAGCTCGCTGACGAATGATGAAGATGTCAATTTCGACTGCTGATGTGCACACGTTCGACGCAACTAAATCGAGTACTTTTTGTTTAAAGGTCACACAGCGAAAGCAATGATCTGTTGCGAGTGAGAGCGGACGAATAATATTAGCTGAAGGAAGCCAGCCTGGCATCCTAAGGTTTATCCATCAGCAAGGTCTGGTTCCCGCCGCCGCACTTTGATGATTGACGCCATCAAATTCATGTCCTCTTTCCCCCCGGCAGTGCTTACCATTTTGTTCAGGTAGAAACGTTCAAACGAGTACCTTTACATGTCACCAAACCAAGGGCAGATGCAGGGCGGGGGCCAAAGGGGGCCATGGCACCCCCCAAAACGAAACCAATTTTTTTTTATGTGACTTCGCAATAAAGGCAGGCAATGAGTACACCACCATCTTTTCCTCAAAAAAAACCCACATTGGTTAAAGTGGTCAGAAATTGCCTCAGATCGCACCACAGGGCATCTAGAATCAATTTTTTTTTTTGGGGGGGGGACCAAAATTTTTTTGGGCCCCCAAAAATTGAGTTCTGGATCCGCCCTTGCACCAAACGTAACATCTCATGAATGTATATGAGACATGCGATCGGAAAGAAATTCAACGAAACATTTTCTTCTCCAGTCAGGGGAAAAAAATGAAGGGAAGCAGGGAATCTGTATTAAGGGGACCAGGGGATGGTCGGATGCGCCGCCTATGAGGACCGACGTCAGCAGGGGTGGGTTGCCTGCGTCTGGCAGGCCGAGATAATGAGCCAGTTGCGTTAGATTAGAAGGCACATTTTAACATTGAGTTAATTTAGAAAATTAGAATGTTCCAGCCGATGTGCAAACCAACCATAAGCACTTGGTTATCTGAATGTTTCAGGAGGGCCGTTTTACGCATGTGAAACAAAACAGGGCGGTTGATTGTTCGCAGTCAATTAAGTCATGTAGTACGCGTTGAGTTGTAATTGGGCGCAACGTTATCATTGTGCCAGCCATAGGACCTCAGGTGGAATATGGCCTGGACGGAAAGGAGCGCCCTTCCCAGCTGTTTACGTTCAGGACAAGTCAAGCAACGCCCAGGTCGTTAGTCGTTAAAAATCGAATTTGCAAACCCAGTCGGCCGGCAAAACCTGGTCACGCCCCTGATTTTTTAACCCCAACCCGAATTAAGTAAAGGGTTCTGTATTCATTCATTGTCATGTTTTGGACGATGGCCACCAGGGTAAAACCCTCCACATATCAAGCTTGCAACGATTCGTGTTGGCAAGTCGAAATATCTGGACCTCGACTTCTAAAATTAGAAATCACTGTTTCATTGGAAGGGTATCCTCTGGCTTAAAGGACTCAGTGAGTAGATTTCACGGGGCTTCCCGTCCCTCTAACCCGGAGCTAGCTTCGTGTCATTTCTCCTTAAAAAAAATCATGTCTCACATAATGTGCTCTGGCAGGAGAGTTTACCTCGTGGCGTACATCATGACTCGTATATACCTTTGATATCAATGAACGGATATCATCCCTAAGGGAGTGGTCGGTACCAGCGCCCAAACAGAGTCCGGAGGAGCTATTTTTGACTATACCCCAACGCAATCCCCACGGGCATGAGCTGGTACGATAGACAAACAATTCTTTTGCAAGTCATACCCTTTCTCTTGAAGATCTTTGTTCATGGCTGTTTCCCTTGGTAACCGTCACATCAATTTGTGAGTGCAGAATGACACTTGAATGACAACCAGCGATTTCACCTTTGAGTGTTCACTGTTCATGTTGTGTGCACCTCTAAACAAAGCAATTAGATATTTGCTATATATTACGTGAAAGCTCTAGGCAACAATCACCATTTAATTCACTTAAAAATCATGTTTTATTAAACCAATGCTCCCGCTGTTGTACCAAAGTGACTATTATGATGCCTTTTTTTCTCGACTTCCCAACAATTTTCGACAACCATGTTGCAGATTGATTTTGGGATGCGTGCCAAGAAATGACAACCAAGAAAAAGCTGATAGCAAAAATCAAAAACTTTTTATTCAGCTTGCACTTTCCTTCCTTGGTTTAGCATTCGATGGTCACGCTGCAATGAATGACTCGCTTAGTACAAACACATCTCTCAATGGAATATGAGTCATCGGAGTTATTTGTTGTTTGCTGCCGCGAACGTCTGAGGGCGCCGTTCCATTGAAAGGGGACCTTTGAAATCACCGATTGAACTTCTAATTTGATAAGTAGAGTCCCAGTTTAATATTACTTCTTGTTTTTTCCCTCTCTTTGCAATACAGGGAATGGTGATGCCCAATGTCCATATACAGACATTGTGGAGATGCAAAGGGTTATCACGTCCGATAATTCTACCAAATCTTTGCCGGCTCTGTCCTCTAAGCAGACAGACAACAAACAGCCCAGCCTCAAACTCTCCAAGACGATGACACTAAAGAAATCTACATCCTCAAGGCCACCGATACAAAACGAACGACAGCTACCTCCGGAACCTCCGACCTATGCAATCATACAGAGGATGGAGATGACGAAGGAAACACCCGAGGCGTCTGGGTCCGAAGACAAGACACCAAGATGCTCGGCTGAGTTCAGGTACAGCACCTTGTATGCCACACCTGACGCTGCTCTCACAGGGAACAGCCATACCATACCTCGGGATTTCAACATGGGTCCACCACGGTACATTCTGTGCGAATCACAGCACATCTACGCCGACATACAGCGCAAATCCAAGGCCAGCACGTGGAGCTGTTCAAAGAAATCCCGGCCGAAATCCACGGCGTCTGCAGGCGATACGCCCAGGCGTTCCAGGCGCACACTCGGCCGTAGCCTTAGTCGCAACTCCCTCCATAGCATCGCAAAGAGGTCTAGCAATTCAGGTAGCTCTGGGTACAGTTCACTTCGTGGGAGCAGAGAGAACATCTTTGATAATTACGAGAGTGTGGAAGAACGTTCGGATCCTCCGACTCCCAACATCTACTCGGAGACGATACCTAAAGACATCGGCACGACAGAGCATTACGACAGATTAGATCTGATTGCCTCCGACAGCTTGAAGACGGAATACGATAAACTCAATCGAGGTCCCAAGACATCTCGGGGAGCCGGGATCGTCAAAACATTCTCCAAGAAATACGAGAAACTGGCTGCGGACATGAGCAAAAGATGAGTGTGGCGGTAATTTAGAGCACAGCCAGTCTCAATTTCAGTCACATGCCATCATAAAATTAATGAAAATGAAGGCAAATGTTTTTCTCAAAATTCTGGTTTGTGCCAGTGTGTGGACGAAATTTGCATACTTCTCACTTCTTGAGTGATGACGAAGTTTAAAATTGCAAGATCAAGTTTATTTCGATACATCCGCGAGGGAAGTGTTAAATACCAGTGAAGATCTAGTTAGATGCAAAGAGCCTGTCTTAAAGCTGATGCAATTTTGATAAACACCTAAAAACTCAGAAATACATTCAGCTACAATAATTAATGGGGGAGTATTACGGACGAACAGGTGTATTCTAAACGAGATAAGTAGAGCGACACTGACCATGTCATGGTCCAATGAAAGGGCTCACCCCTTAATTGAACCCAAGGTTTGGAAGGGGAGACGAGTATTTCCCAGATTATTGGATCAAACTACGGAAACCTGTACAGCTCCTCTTCGAAAAGCTAGGATTAGATAAATAGGTTACCTCGGCCATGGAGCAACTAAGAAGGAAGAGGTCAAAGTGTATCTGCTGAATATTCATTTATTTGATGCGGTGTTAAGAGCATAATCGGTTTATTCAATAAGGGGTTTTTTTTGGGGGGGGGGAGGGAGGTGTGGGGTGGGGAGTGACCTCACGTGACCTCTTGACCTCTTCAATTGTGCCAACGGGTGTACATAGGCCTAGTACTTGAAGGGTTGTAGTTTAAAGAGTAATAACTCCGTAGACGTTGTACGTAATGGAAGACTTTTGGTTTTCAATGATGAAATTTAACTCATCGATGAAATAACGGAACAAAATGAAGTAATCCTTGAAAAAGTGTCACTTCAGGGAAAGATTTACCATTGGGGAAGACACCAAAAGAATGGAACATATAAAGCTATCTGAAGTGTTACGATTTTTTTCAATTGCATTTCTTATACCCAGTAAGTTTTTATTTCTCACCATTATCAAAAGATATACTCGCTGTTTTTGGTAACGAAACTTGTCTTTGTTGTTACAAAAGTGAATCGGTATTGCCCTAGTCACGCTCGTGTTGTCAAGAGAGGGCGGTACAACAGAATGATAATTCTTCACCGGGCCTGGCCGATGTCCTATCCCGTATGACGACGTCATAGTCCTGGCTATGTCTCAGTTTCCCCGCAACCTGTTTTTGAATGTTAGCTCACTCAACATCCAGGAAACGTGATCCACATTCAGTGTTTTTGTGAACTGGTTTGATAGCTATCGCCAGGATGCGAAAAAAATGAAAGTACCTATTGTGAACGGAAAAAACACATGAGTTATGGCGCAATGAAGTAGCAGATATTGCAACATGATCCTGAAAAGAAAAACCTCATGGATGTGACTTTGGGTTTTTACCCCGACCTATATTTGGCAAGTCAAGAAAACTTTTGGACCGCAAAATCTATCAAGGTTATAAAAACAAATGATCATGTGCTTCGGCCCTTAAATTGCACAATCTAGACACACTGAGAAAAGAGCGGGTTTTTCCTTCATCGACTTCGGTAGTTTGAACAACGACAAAAAGTGGTACCAGAGCATTTATTTTACAAACCAAGTCAACACATTTTCTTAAATGGCTAAGCTTTACAATTTGGCTGTAACCTACATGAGTATTAATAACTGTACATTATATTTGTTGTCAGAGGCATAATTATGTAATTTTTGTGCACACCTAAATCGATGTGATAGTTGACGAATTTCCTGGACTCTGTAATGGTTCGATTTGACCAGTTCTGACGAAAGAATATACTTTTAGTAGTCTAATAAAGGAACTGGAATAATTACATATACGGTACAATTTTTTAGCCTGGACATGACATAATGTTCTATTATGACTAATATATGCTCGAAACTTGATCCTTACTGCTGACAAGTTGAGTCGTGAAGTGGTGTAGGGCGGGCTGGGAGGGGCAAAAGATGTGCTTAAATTTGAAAACTGAGAAATTGTTTCATATTATGAAGTCCTTTTGCTGCTCCTCAATTTCTACGTCTTGTTCCATACCCCTTCATGACGTTACCACTTTTTTGTAAAAAAAATGTGCAATAAGTTTTAGCTCTTTGTGTAAATTATTAGTTAACACACTTTTCTAACGTTTTATTATATTGATATACATGTATCGAGTATGAACAAAGTAATAAAAAAGAACTTTAATTATGATCTGATAATATTGTTGATGTCCATTTGACTTTCCTTAAAGACGGTCTCCACAGTCCTGTAAAGAGAAAGATTCTGGGCCTTCCAAATCTTCCCGAACGCCAATGAAATCCTGTTTTTGAAATCAACATGTCAGGTGATTTTTTCCAAAGTTGTTTCACTTTTCAGGCCACGGTTTTTCTGGGGAAATCCCTTGTTATTGTTTTAAGTAGTAATGCAGATTTAGGCATGCAGCTTGCAAAGCGATTAATCATGGGTTTTTGTTATCCGGTTTTAAACTTTTGAAATGTCTGACGATGACCAAAGGTCGGACGTTACAGTCTGTGATAATTGCCAGTGGAATAATTAAGTTCCAGTGTGGACGATAATAGTCGAGAAGCTCAAGGAGATCAGCAATTAAAAAAAAAAAAAAACATATAAATTTCCAAAATTCTGACACTTTCACGTTAAGGCCTATGTCAATTCATTGCAGCCAGAATCAACCCCGTATACCTTAGGGACCGGCAGGGATAACTGCCTCTTTCCTTGCCGCGCTTACAGCCACACCTGACCTGTCTTGAGAACTCTCTCGGCTTATAAAGCAGCCAGACCCCAACAATAATTTCTCCAATGAGACACCCTCAAACCAATTTTTTTCATCTACATGTGCTGCTTCAGAATACTCACTGCAATCCAGTCCCTTTAACATGGCAAAGACCCACGGGAGGGCCTATTTTTAGCCCGAGTTGGCCAAATCCAAGCCTAGACCAGGAAATGAAACCCATTTGCTGCATTTCCTGAGCAGAAGTCCTGTCCAACCAGATTTAGCTTTTTGAGTCATGCCTCCTTTGAGATTTGTACTACAAGGAACATAAATTTCACCCTGCAGTTTGAAACAGCCAAAGCAATGATTTCGTGGACACAACAGGGGGCGCTATTTGGGATTGGTAAATCAAGGCAAACAGTTTTAAGCATGATCCCAAATAGCTCCCGTTATTATTGGATATTCCACTTATAAGTATATCCCTTTCTCTGAGAATTTCTAATTGAGGACCAACGGACACTCGATCTACCCACAAAAGTCTACTCTATGGGCGCCATCTTTGACAAACGGTAGCTTGAAACAAGATAAGGCTGTGGTAACATTTAGGTCCGGGTGCGAGTAGTGCGTTTTCCTGCTCAGGTACTCGCAACGAAATTACTTATTATATATCTTGATGTTTACAAGTAAAACGGATCGGTAGAAAAAAAACCGTGATGTGCTTTATCTGGTAGCTACAAACGTTTGCTTGAAATAAGCGTAAATCTTTGTACTTAAAAGGTGTTTGTGCGAAAGCGTCTCTGCCAACAGAGCACACAACAGCGCCCTCTTGTGATTTACTGTTACAATCATCCAATCCTTATCGAACCACGTTTTTTACCGTTAATTCTTGCTCCGTAAAATCCCCGTTTATGACTCCTGATCATCATTTGGCTTAATTACCCAATTACCAGGTTCATTATAAATACCCTCTGTGCGTGAATTACAGAAAGTAAGTACAATTCTGGTTGATTAAGATATGATATTTGGGGGGATTTACTTCATGTTTATTGTCAATTTTGGGTTGCAATTTACGCTGTACTAACGCAGATGGGAATTTACACGTCATGCCATACGCGTGCTTATACACATGTTTGTGGGCACTTTACTGGGGATATTGAGGGTTTCATAGTATTTAGGGTCTTTCCATGAATATAGGTGCTATTATACCCATATTTGGGGTTGTTAATAAGTATTTTGGGACATTTTCATCCATATTTGTGCTCATGTTATGTACATGTTATTGCCAGCCCAGGGGCGGATCCAGGAATTTTCGCAGGGGGTGGGGTTCATCAGCAAAAAATTCTGAAAATGTTCACAGTTTTTTTTCTCCTGACACTTGGCCTCCGTAAAATCTAAAGTGGGGGGGGGGGGGGGGGGGGGGGGGGGGGGGGGCTGGGGGCTGGTACCATATTTCAATAGGGGGGGCTGTTCAAATTCGAATATTATTAACACTAGATTACAGAATGGTGTACCGTATTTTGAACAGGCAAACATTATACCAGTATATCTTTTTTTGGGTGTCACAGCATGGGGGGGGGGGGGGGGGGGGGTTCGACTTATTTTTGGGGAATTTGTATGGAATTTTTTTTTGGACAGAGCTGGGGGCGGGGTTACCCCCCCCCCTCTGGATCCGCGCCTGTGCTTACATGTATATTGTTAATGTTTATTATATGATTAGGGTTTCTAGGCCTGTGACATACTAATTAAGTTCCCCTTTGTATTTATTCTTCCCTTTAGAACCACACACATACTCATAGCATACACAGCACACACATCTATTCCTAACAGTGCCACACTACCCATAACCCTAGTCAATAATAAATCCTGTTACCAGCCCATCACCAGTTTTGGTCGCCTACTTCTTTTTAGTGTTCGTTTATTTTGTCAGATACTTAAATTAAGCTGTGATTGTTTTGCCCATGTTGAGAAGTCATATTATGGTGGTTTTACAGTCATGTGACGAATCGGGGATGCATATCCATTCCTCTGAACAGTCAAGTGGTGGTTGGACCTCAACTTTGCTGATTCATGCGGCGGTTTGCCAGTCAAGTCTATGTCAACAACATGTTTAGGCCTAGCATGTATTTTAGAATCATGGGTCAGTCAGATACTTCAACCGAAGACATGGTACCGACATACATATTAAGGTGGTCGTGTATACGGTTAAAAACATTAATGTTTTTAACACGTCATGGTAAATCTTCTTTACTCCCATCTTCAACCCTTGCCTTAAAGGGAAGATACAACATTTGCAAACATCACAAAACGAAATGATCAAATTATCATGAAATACCTTACTGGATTGTTAGGGAATGACAGTCTAAAGCATCCTGTAAAATCGTGGCTCCTGGTGTGCTATCATTCTCAAGAAAAATGGTATTTTTGCAACGCTGGTCGGCCGACCAGCGTTGGAATAAACTTTTTTTTTTCGAAACCTGCATCTAATTTTTCATAATTAGTTATTCATCGTTTTCTTTGCAATTGATTGCACACCTGTTAAGGAGTACAAGCCTGCTCGACTGATTCTCTGACCTTATACAATTCCCCAAAGTCTATAAATTGCTCCGTTTCATCCTAAGTGGGGTCGGGGAACCAGACTACAAGAACATGATTGGTTTTCTTGGTTTTTCCAACATCTACAAGCCCAAAACGTGAAACAAGTATTTGAACAATATTTGCTATAACATACTAATCCTCCAAATCCATTTATTTCTGAAAATTGCAGCAAAAGCAAATGTTGTACATTCCCTTTAAAGTTGGCTAATGCCCATGGCTACTCCAACGATGGCAGCATTTATATTTCTGGAGGACTACACAAAAAAGGAAACCTATTGACAAATGGAATCTAATATTTTGAGATCCTTTGATTGT